GGTGACAAATGTAAAGTGAGTAGTTTTCTAAAAAGTTAAGCTTGAGTATTTAAACATTTGATAAATCATGGGTTATCGGAAGAATATAATTGTAAATGTTTTGGCAGTAACAGAATTCCATGCAAAGGTCTCAATCTGAGTATAAAATCTTGTAACTTCCTTAACTCTTTTTAGACTGGTGGAGGTAACTGTGGTATCTGGTGTTCACCTGTCCAGAAAACAAAGCCATGCTCAAGCCAGGTGAGCAGACATGCTTTGGATGACACTGTTATCTGTCAGCACATGATACAGCAGCCAGAAATGCAAACATTTAGAGCATTTTTAAGCCAGAAAAAAAACCCCCAACAATAAATAACTCTAAAATTAAAGGAATAAGTGAATGAAAGCATGTAAGGGTTTGAGTGGAGGATGCTGACTTTACTGTCCTCTAAACTAAGTCTGCAGCAGCCCAGAGCTTATTGCCAAGAGAAATTAAAGAGAAGGTGTCTCTGTGTGCTGTGTGATGTCACTGGTGAGCAGCTGCTCTGGTGGAGGGTGCCGTGTCTGTGATAAGTGCCTACAGACAGAAATGCTCTGTAAAGGAATCACTGCTGGCACACTGACACATGCTGGCAAATGAACTGTGTTTGGTGGAAGGATAAGAATCTACTACAACTCTCACAAATCACCCTCGTCATGATCACCTCGTGATAAAACATGAATTTCTCCAGTGAGTGTAAGCAGAGCACATTTGCCAGATGATCTCTTAAGATCCAAACAGATTGGTGCATGAGTGGACCAAGTCAGCACAGCCAGTGTCCAGTGTCACTGCCCAGAGCTCACAATGAAATGGGAACAGCGATGGTGCCTCAGGTTTTACAGCCACCTCTGTGCCCGACTCTCACAATTATTTATTACCACTAATATTGTGCTTTGTAAACTTATACAGTGCTTTATGAAGTAAGACATGTTTCCTATTTTAAAGATCTTATAATCTTGTGGGCTGATAAGGGGTGCAGATTATCCCTTGGATGTTCATAAATAGCATTAGCACTAAGAGTTTTATTAGTGCTGGGTCCTTCCAAGCCTGGAGCTCTTTCTTTTCCTTAGCAACACATCCCTGGTCAGGTGTTGAAATATGGATTTTGACACCGTGATGTTCAGGCTGGCACAGTGTGGGCATTCTTTTGTTTTGCTCGTAGTGAAAGAGCAAACCCCAAGCAGAGTCCCAGAGCAGGGGCTGTTGCTCTGCATGGGTTTAATCCACAGCCTTTGCTCGCCTCTCTGAGCCTGTGAATCTGTGAATCTGGAGTTTGGGGGATGGCAGCAGAGAGCAGGCTTGGGAGGTTTGTGTGTGTGTGCTTGCGTGTGTTTTAAATAAACAAACAATGGAACAGCAACTCCAACAAATTGTGAGTGGTGCTAATTTGTTATAGTGCTGTCTTGCCTTCTGGCAGTGTTGATTTAGGAGAAGCTGAGCAGACTGGAACGGATGCAGGGAGCTGCTGGTTCTCTTGCTCTGGGATGTGTGTATGGTTCAGTGCAAAATGCTTCTAGGGGTCCTGTCCTGAGGAGCTTTCAGATTACGGGGTAAAGCAGATACATAGGCTGCCAATCCCCTTTTCAAAACCAAATCTTGGCCCAAAGTACCTTCCCCTCTGTCTTGCTCCTCCCCTTCCACTTCTTTAAAATGAAGAGATGTTTCAAGTCTTAATTCATGACAAAAGCCTGTAATTTGTGCGTTTTGAGGACTGCCAGAAAATCCTTGACCTTGACAAGAATAGTGTGTAGGCAAGGAAAGGAAGAAGATCCTGTGCTTTGGACTGGAGCAAAGTTTTCAACAGCCCATGACCTTGCAGGGCTGCCTTTCACAATGTGCCTGGGCTGTAGTCCCCCAGCTGAGATGATCTGACAGGGAGGGATCTGCAGCCCTGCACCATTGTTGGGCAGGGCTGCAGGATAAAGCTGGCAGGATGGGAGCCAGGCATATGGTGAGAGAGATGCCAGTTTGGTCCCAGGTGGTTACTACCCTGCACCCCTCAGTGTTAACCCTTGCAAACTGATGGTATTAGCAGTACTCTGGGTGCAGGTGCTCCTGAGCAGATTGCCTCTCTCTCTCTGCAAGAAAAGTTTGCTGAGTCCACACAAGAAATAAAAATGAGAGGATCTTTATCAAACCCTCTCTCATTTCTCCCAGTACTCTGAGGCTTTGTTTGCTCTAACAAACCATGTAACTAAGGAGCCTGAGTCACAGTGGATGGTCCCAGCTCCTGCCTCATCCCTGCCCTGGAGATCCCTGCCCAGCTGCAGGGACAGCTGAAAGGGTCGTGCATTTGCTCCAGTACCACTGCATTTCACAACCTGCTATCAGCTTGTACCTGTGGTGACTCAGAGCCCTAAAGTGCTGCAACCTAGATTGTGCTGTGGGACAGTGTGGGCTGGAACAGGGTCATTGGACATTCCTCCTTCTCTCTGTGCTGTGTGTGCCCCAGAGCAATGCTCAGCACGAGGCTGTCACCCCCGCCCCGTGCCAACTGCCCTGCCCTACTGCAGGACAGGACCCAGGCCTAACACTCTCTAGGATTGGCTGGGAGGTAGCAACAATCCTTTAGTCATGTCCTAAATTCTTGCATTGTAAAGGGACAGTTCTGTACATCAAGGCTCAAAGGTGGCTGGGAAGCAGAAATTTTGCACACCAAAGGCTTTGCACGCATGAAGGGGTCTTAACTGGTGGATGGGTGGAAGAGATCCTTCCTCCTGTGTGGGCTGAGCTGTTCCACTCAATCTGTGGGTATTCTAGTGCAATAAGGAGTAAATAGATAAATAAATTAGATTAGCATCGGACACCCGAGCTGCCTTTGCTACTTGAAGTGCTGGTACAACTGAGCTTGCTGAGTTGTTGCAGGACTGCAGAAGAGCCCAGTGGCTGTTGCTGGTCACAAGTTTCTGAAGCTTTATTTGTTTTGTGCCACTGCTGTGTTCCTGAGATCAACTGTGCTCTGCAGATATGCAGGAATTTTTAGTGCCTGTCTCTGCCTGACAAGATCTGAAATGTCCGTGCCTCTCCTCTTCTCCTCCCACCAGAGGTTTGGGTAATCTTAGGCTCCTTCATGTCAGCAGTGAAAATAAATGCATAATATATAAGTGCTCTGTTTAGGAATTGGCAGGAAGCTTCATTTCTGACTGCAGTGGGATGTTCTAACAGTAGGAAACACCTTTTAAGCAGTTCTCTGCCAATCTCTGCCCTAGAGGGGAAATACAACTATGGAGAAGAGCTCTTGGTTCACAGAAGCAAAAAAATCTGCATTTGAGCTGCTGTTCGAGACCAAGTTTATGCAGCATTCAGCCTTTGTTTAACTGCGTATTGCTGGCATTGCTGAGGGTTTTGCAGAGTTGTGATGCTGGCAGATGCAGCCAGGAGTATGTTGCTCCTATGCAGCGCAGAGTGTGATCTTCTGGGGAGGGAGAGCTCCAAATCCCTGGGGCTCTGGCCCATTATGCTTAAAGTTGCAGGGTAGTTAAATGTGGGTTGGCCTGTTCGTGCTGGCACTGGGCTGTTCAGACTAGTTCAGCAAATGCTCTTGGCTCAGCACAGCCCAGGTCAGTAAGCAAACAGTTGCTTACATTTCACTTCTTCATTGTATTGACAAGATTTAAAAATCTTCAGTCTATAGCAGTCAAAACAGGGTGATCTGAATACAAAAGAGCTGTTAGTTCAGTGTGAAAGGGATTTAGTTACAGAATTGTGGGGGTAAGTATGCAGGTGGGAATAATGAGAACACTGTCCTGGGCCTGAGCTGAGCCCAGCCCAGCAGATGTCCAGGAAGAACCAACTATCTCCTTATATTCAGTGTCCTTTTCATGAGGACAGTTTCTGTTTCCCGGGCCAGTGTCCTCCTCTATGTTCTCTCTCATCCAACTACACAAATTACTGTAGGTCTTTTTCATTTGGCCTTTTATCTTTTAAGGTTGATAATCAATATTCAGGATTTCTGTCTTCAGCAGCACAGCTGGAGACATGCAGCCATCAATGTGAAAAGAGCTATGCAGATGTTTTACTTCACTCTGAGGGTCTAAAAACCTCCGTTAAATCCCTGCTAGGCTGCAGGCTTTTTTCTGGACTGTTTTTTGGGGGGGTTGTTTGATGGGTTTCACTGGGGCAGTTTCATCACTTGGAGAGAGGGACTTGTGCTTAGCATCTACCCTGAGACTGCCCTCCATGATAATCCTGCTGGAGCTGATTACGGGAACGCTGTGGGAAGGAGGATACTGCAGAAGATACAATCAGCTCGTCAAACTTAGGGTGTCTGTGAGATGTGCCTTTCCCTGATGTGGAAAAGATGATGTTGCTTTTTCCTTTGGGCAGGGGAGGGTGGAATTTTAGATCTTAAGTTTTGCGACTCTCGTACAAGCTGCAGTTCACCAGGAATCAACTCGATCTCCAGTCTCTAAGAACGCAGATTAAATTATCAGTGAATAATTATGATTATAAATAGCAGAGAGTATACAGTATCTTCTTCTTCCATCTTGCATCAAAGTATCCAGCCTGGCTCAATGCCATAACATCTCTAGGCTTGGGAAGGGGGACAGGGAAATGGGGCCAACGTGGAGGATCAGCATATAAGAGTTTCTTCCGTTGCCTGTTCTGTGTGGGGAACGAGAGCGTGAAGCTCTGGCACCAGGCTGTGCCTGTCGGAGAGGCGTTTCTAAATGGTGATGATGTGTAGTTGCCTGAATTTCTGGGCAGAATGAAGCTGGTGCAGACATCCTGGAATCTGCTGGGTTTGGATACGTATGGACTGGTCCCCCTGGAGCTCAGTGCCTCTGGGAGTCCTGAGTGGAGGAGGCCAGAGTCAAAAAGAAACTCGCAGAGTCCTCCTGCTCTGCTGCCGTTGCAGTTCAGCAGCTGTGGGGAGATGGGTGGAGGGGAGGTTGTTCTGGTAGTTACATATTTAAGGCAGGCGGCCGTTTTGAAATGTACGTTTCAATTTTGATTGCAGTTTTTTAATTGCATTTAACAGCGTCCCTGCTGGTTCTCCATTCTGCATCCGTGCAGCCACGTTCTATTGATGGCCTGTTGTGATTTCAATGGAACATCATGGGATGTACCTGGCACGTCGGGCAGCACTGGATGGAGGTGCCTTTAGCCCAATGTACCTGGCATGGTAAGCGGCAACCAAGCGGTTAATCTGCATTCTACTGCTCGTAGTCTCAGCTTGTATAGCAAGGTGTTCCTGCTTCGCTGCAGCCTTGCACTGACTGGAAATCACTTTGCTCTCCTGATGTTAGTGCTTTCATGCACGCAGGGCCCCTACCCTTTCCACCCACGGAGATCCCCCTTCCCTGGGAAGTTTGCCATGCAGTAGAGAAGGGCTTAGCCACGTCAGGCTCTCCTTGTTATTCTAGAACATGAGAGAAGGGACTGGGAAATCATCTGACTCTTTTTCTTCTCTCCTTTTTGGGCCAGGAGCTGGTAGCAGTTGAGCAGGTATTGCCCACGTACCAAATGTCCAGATGTTGCCGCACAGAGGTGCCAAACAGGAGTTTGTGTCCATGAGCAAAGCTGGACCTGCGGGAGCTGCCTCAGGGAGCCGGGAGGGCAGTTCTGCCTGGCACTAATTGGAATGGAACCAACTAAAGCAGGGCCACTTTAAGTTTGGTGATGTGGCATCCTCTGCGAAATTATCATCCGTTTTCCTTCTCCTTTCCATGTTCACACCTGCAAAACCAGCTGCACATCCTGCTCTGTCCTGCATGTTGCTTTCTCTCCCCTCCCCGGCTCTGCAGCCGTGTCCCCGGGTCACTTGACATGTTGGTCTAAGCTATTTTGAAGTTCAAAATATTTGTGTGAGAAAAACAAGGGTGCTGCATCCTGTTTTTTGCTTAAGCCCAGGTCACAGAGCTTTTGCTGCTCCACTGCCAGTGATGAAAATGCATGTTCTTGCTTCTGCTTCTGAATTCTGTTGTCTGTCTGCTCTCAGGGGCTGGGGATAGGGAAACATTTGGGCTAACACAGTTCCAAGCATCCCTCCCTGCGCTTCTGCTGTTCTGGAATGTGAATACCTTCAAAAGTCATGGGCTAATGACCTGCCAACTGCAGCTCCTGGGGGGCAGGTTAGCGGCCACCAACCACCCACTTCACTGATACCTCGGGACAGTCCTGGAAATAGGTTCTGTTGGGATGTGGGGAGAGAAAGATCAGATGGGCCAGTGAGGAACAGGAAAGCTCTTCCCAGTGCGGTTGCCAAGTGCTCAAAAGAAGTTGGTTCATCTGAAACTGAAGAGTGCAGAAGTCACCTGTTTCAGTTTCACCCAGTTCCAGCAGCAGCCGGACACGGCATTTTTAAGTTCAGAAATTGATGGGAGATGTAGGAAAGAGTGGATTTAATTCTGTCTTGTTCTTCCCCGTGCTCACCACTGCAGTGTTTGCTTAGTGCAGCACAAGTGCCTGGGAAGGTGGAGAGCTAAGGAAGCAGGCCACTACCTTTCCCCAGGTCTGTTATAACATGCACAGTAGCTGACGCTTTAACAGCATCTAATTTGCTATATCACATCTAATCTGTTTGTTGGTTTTTATCTGCAGTCCTGTTAGTTCACTGCTCAGGTGCTCGGTGTCTAGCCTTCTCATCCATCCACAAATCCTCTACGTGAAATGAGTGGTTCCTTAGATCTGTTTTTGATTGATTCTTTGCTTCACTGGTGTTGCTGCTTAAAAGGTAAACAATATTCATGTGCTGCAATCTATAACTCAGAGATGAAATCAAATAGCATCTCCTGCCAGAGGTTGCTAAGATAACACATTTACCATTCATTCAGCAATTACTTTTAGGAGGAGATTTAGTGATACTAAAGAGAATCAAATCTGTAGTGAATATGTAGATTTTACACTCTTTAAAGGGGTGAAGTGATTTCTCTTCTCCTCTGCTTTAGCAAATTAATTTTCTGTGATGTCCAGAATCTTTGTGGAAATTGAGAGAGATTTAAATTTCCCCTGCTGTGTAGTGAGAACAGCACAGCTCCTGGAGCAGCCTGTGTGTTCTGCACAACCTCCCTGCCCTCAGGGTGCCAGAGTGCCCCAGGCCGGGCTCAGCCCGCAGGTACCCAGCTCCTGGGGCAGCCTTGCTTAGGAAGATGCTGTGGGTGCTCAGCTTGCGAAGCTTTGTTTGCTGTGTGGCCTCTGCTTGCAGCATCACTGCATTCTGTGATTTGTGCCCTGTATCTCTCATGTCTCTGCATGTGCTGTGTCTCAGTGTCATGGATATGGTGGAGGTAGTGGAGAGCCTCAGTCTTGCTTCACTCCCTCCTTGCAGGGCAGTATTTGAGCAGGTCCACTGCTCTGAAAACTGTGTCTGGAATGCCAAGGAATCAGCCCGAATCTGGGAAAAGACCATCCCCGATGCTCTTTGTCCAGAGCCTTCTGTGATCATGTTTTAAATGCAAAGGAGTGAAATTTTGCACACCACATTCAGTGGTTAAAACCTGGGGCCCCAGTGAGGATCATCTATGTATTCTTGAGGTCTGGGGTTTGGTTTATTTACTAGAAATGTATCTAAGCCTTTTCTGAGCCAGGGCTCCTCTAAGCTGGGGTGTGTCTTTTCTGTCTTTTTGCAGGAAACAGGAAAGGAAGGGTTATTAAAAATGATACCAAGATACAAGAACTATAAACCCACTGTGATTTTTCAGGGCTTTGGGGGTTGTGGTGATGTTATTCAAATGTTAGGGTTTGTTAAGAGACAGTCTCTGCAAACTCATGGATAGCAAGGCCTTTGTAAGGGCTGCACCCCTTAAAAAGCTTGGGCAGATCTGCCAACTTTTATATGGGATTTAACCTCAGAGTTGTCCTTGGTCCCATGCTTTCAGCCAAAAGTGAGATCCTGGGAATGCCATAAGTTAAGGAATAATGCCTGCTTGTCTTTTGCTACCACCTTTTCCAACACACCTCTCTTCCTCCACCTCTGAAATGCTAAAGAAGGGTTTGTAACTGGTCAGCTCTGGAAAATACCTGGAATGATTGATTTTTGTTCAGGACTGCACAAGATGCACAGGGCAGGTTGCTATAAAGCTTTTGTCAGCAAAGGCATGTCAGTCAGAGGAGTGTTCTCTGAGCCACAGCGCAGTCCTGGTGGGCAGTTCTGACAGAAGTTTAACATGGTGCTCTAAGCTTGGCTGAAGGCTTTGCTGCCTTGTTGCATGACATTCATTTTGTTGGGGTTGCTAAATCCACGTTAGCCTTCAGTTAACAACATTCAAATTTGATAAGTGGTGTTACGGTGCTTACACCTGACCACTGCTTTTAAAATCTACTGAAGGTAATAAGCTACCTCTTACCTATGTCCTACTGAACATGAATAGTTCTGTACGATTTGACATGTGAGATAAATAGAGGTAATTTAAACAAGCTGTACTATGCTAATTTTTATGCAGCAGAACACACTGAAGCTTAATAATAACATTATCTTCCTCATGAAGGTCAGTAAGAAGCAGAATTACAATTCTACCTGTTTCCAGGGCTTTCCCTGCAGGCTCATTACCAGGTTTCAATATCATTTAAGGTAGAAAGAAAGAAAGAAAGAAAAAAAGTACAACTCTAAAAATATTTTGCATTAGTGGCTGCAGCAAGCCTTGACTCTTTGCAAAGGCTTAGGTAACTCATATACAGAGATTTCTAGACCTCTGCTTCAAGTGCCCCATGAATGGGAAATAAGATCACTTTTACTTGAGTAACATACTCCTTTTCTAAATTTTATATTTTATTAGTTTGTTTAGGCAAAAAATATTGGCTGTGCTGTTTCCCCTCCTTTCCCATATTTGTCCTTTATGGAACACTTAAAAATCACATCCAGGGATTTTGTGTGTTAGGTGCATGAGAAAGCCCCGTTATGTTTGTAGTGAGAGGGTGCAGCCCCAGCCTGTCCCTGCCTGTCCTGAGCAGGGTGCATTTACAGAGAGGGAATGCTGGGTTTTGTTGCAAGCCACGTTCCTGTCCTTCCCTGTCCATGTATTTCAGTGACCCAGGAGTAAGGGCTTTTACTGGCCTGGTTAGATAAAAGTGGGTATTTGGTGCCTCTGTTGTTGCTTCTTCCTCTTAATCAGCAATTCTGGAAGCAGGCCACCAGAGCCAGACACGCTGCCTGCGTGCTGCAGCTCTGATGTAACTAATTACAGCAAAACTTGTTTTTAAAGTGCTCAACACTGCTCAGTGTCAGTAATCCCTGCCCTGTCACGTTTCTGTGATTCTGCAGGGTGAGTTTCTAGGACAGATGCACTATAGGTGGAGACAAGCACCATGGCAAGCCAGGAGTTCCTCCTTTTGGCTGCCACCCTTGCTAAAGCCTCTGGGAGCAGCATTGGTGTCACAAAGGCCCGGTGCTGAATCCACCAAGGTCTCCTGGGCTGAAACATCCACTGCTGAAACAACACAGAGCAGAAAAGCAGAGCAGCCTTTTTGGCTGTGGGTCAGGGTGAGGAGCCAGAGGGATCTGTGTGGATGCTGAATTAGGTGCAGCTGCACTCAAGAGCCACAAAATTCTACCAAAAGCATAAGCAAGTACCAGGCTGACCAGCAAACCAAGGGAAGAGCTGTGTCCTGGGGAAGAAGGGAGGCACCTGCTTGGCAGATCTGTTGGTAGAAGTATCAGGGTAATCAGGCAACAACACTGGAGGAAAAATTGCATTTGTTTACTTTTTGATAGCTTTTTTCAAAAGGCAAAATCTTTTCGTTGTACAGAAGAGGATGATGTAAATTCACCATCTTTCTGATAATGAAATCTTTATCATCAGTTATAAGAATCAGGTTTGAGGGAAGTAGTTTTTAACACTGACAGCATCACTCTTTATTTCTTGTATATATATATACTTGGCACAGAGGGAAGATAATGCATTCTGATGTTTCATCATTTGAACTCTGATGGGACAGAAAGTGTTAACGGGTCTCACAAACAATAAAAACATTAACTGATGATGACTTTATGAGAAAATTTGAGCTCTTCATTTCTCTATACTTATGGCCTCCTCCTCCTTCTTCAATTATTGAAATGCTTCAGTAATATGATGAATTGGGAAGGGAAGGAAGTGGAAGGCTAAATGTGGCTATTGTATGTTTGGTATTTAATTCCTACATTTGAACCTCAGAAACAATTTTGAACCAACTTTAACAGATAAATGCCCATTACAAGAAGCAGTTGGCACTTTCAAAGAAACAAACAAACAAAAAATCAAGGAAAAAAAATCTTAAATTGGTCCTGGATCCCTGAATGCAGACCCAGATTTAAATTCTGGGGTTTAGGTATTGTGATATCTCCCAAGTGTACAACTGCAGTTAGTTCTGATACAGCTCAAGCAAGGTGTTTCCTACAGTCCATACTACTGGGAAAGCCAATATAAACATCTAAACTAAAATGCAACATGACTACTGTTTGTGGAATACATACATGGAGGCAACCACTATTTTCCTCTCTTTCCAGTATTTCAGAGTAGAAAGACTGTGAGATATGACTTTCTGAGTTTAAAAAAATTCCTTCAAAACTAAAGAAAGAACAAAACTAGCTTAGGAAAACTGTGTCAGATCTGTGAAGACATTTGGTGGCACTTAGCTAGCTCAGCATCCTGAATTTCAGCCAGTTGAGGGTTGATTCTAGCCCTTCGTGTCAACGGAGTGGGATATGGGCATTGCCAGGGGGGTGGTTTTTAAAGCAGCTTTTCATACTCTTAAGGAGGCTTCCCATTCACACCTCAGTGTGATTAATTCCATCTTCAGTGGATTTAGTTGCTGTAAGTCATTTTTTCAATCCCAGAGCAGCTGGGTGTTATAAGTTTTCAACATGTAAGGGCCGAGAAACAAACTACATGTTAAAGCAGAGAAGCTGCAGCTTATGCTAATTATTTTACATGCTCAGATATGCAAATGACAGTGAAGTAGATGCTTCTTTTCTCTTCCTCTTTTTCTCGCTCCTCATCCTCCCTTCAAAATTGTGTCAGGAGAGGTATCAGCTTTCCCCCATTCCCAACTATTGCTTTCATGCTGGTACCTTTTGAATAGTAGTTCCAGCCACCAACCATTGCTTTTGTAAACAGATAACTACAAATCTGATTTTTAAAGACTCGAATCAAGTCTTAGCATGAGAGATAGTTCTGTCTGTATTCCAAGCAGGATCACAGCTTGCAGGGCTCAGTGTACTCAGCTCTCCTTAGTCAGAGTCAAGCCTAACACAGACTGCACCAGGTTAAACCAGTCTATTAAATGTAACCTGTTGGAGTGGAAACAGCAGGTTCACACCTCTCATCCTCCTGTTTTGCAGGTGGTAAGGTGAAGGTGAGAGGAAGAGAAGGTGGAGATGGAACTGCCAAATCATGCCAAACAACTGCTACTGCAGCTGAACCAGCAACGAGCCAAAGGTTTCCTCTGTGATGTGATCATCGTGGTAGAAAATGCCCTGTTTCGCGCCCATAAGAACATCCTGGCAGCCAGCAGCATGTATTTCAAATCCCTTGTCCTGCATGACAACCTGATAAACTTAGACACGGACATGGTGAACCCCACCGTGTTCCGGCAGATCCTGGACTTTATTTATACTGGTAAGCTCTTAACGACTGACCAGCCTGGTGAACAGAACTTTAACGCTCTCCTCACCGCAGCAAGCTACCTCCAACTGCACGACCTGGCAGCTCTCTGCAGAAAGAAGCTGAAGCGGAACGGCAAGTCCTTTGCTGGCAAGGCCGGTGGCCTTGGTGTCGGGAGATCTGCCAGGAGTCAAAGACTTTCCACTGCTTCAGTCATCCAAGCTCGCTATTCAGGGTCAAACGAGGGGTTGAAGGGCTCGCACTCAAAGGAGCTGTCAAAGGGAAAGCTCTCCGATGACGAGGTCTTCATCAGCAGCTCCAACCAAGAGAACTGTCACTCCTTAAGCAGGGGAGCCAGCAAGAACGGCGGTGGGGGCAGCAGCGCCAACGGGAGCACCGGTGACCAGGAGCTCGGCCTCGACCTGTCCAAGAAAAGCCCGTCGCTCCCTGTCGCAGCCTCCCACGATGACACGCAGCACAGCGAAAGCCAGCACGGCTCTCCCCAATCTGCCTCAGCCCCTGCAGCCAACAGTGCCTCATCGTTCGACGAGTCCGGGGTCGGAGCCCCGCACAGCATGGCGGACAGCAGCGACCCCATGGAGATGGATCTGAGCGAGGAGTGCCACCACGCCCTGACGGAGGGCAGCCAGCGCAAGGGCCTCCGGCACTCGTCCCGCAAGAAGGAGTGGATCAAGAAGGACAACGCCTTCGACCGGAAGGAGGGGAGCAAAGACAGGGACGAGGGCGAAGGGCTGCCCAATGGTATTCTGCTGGGGCCCTTGTCCAAGTCTGTGGAGAGGAGTCTGGCCGGGGCCTACGGCGCAGACCTGCCCTACCCCTGTAAGGAGGAGGTGGAAAACGGCAAGGAGAACAGTGACGACAGTGGCCAGAGCGAGAGCGAGAGCGGCGGCCACACCAGTGCCAACTACGTCTACCGGCAGGAGGGGTTCGAGCCAGTGGCCTACGGTGACAACCTGTACGTCTGCATCCCCTGTGGCAAAGGCTTCCCGAGCTCGGAGCAGCTCAACGCCCACGTGGAAACGCACACCGAGGAAGACCTTTACATCAAGGAGGAAGGCACATACGGCAGCAAGGATGAAGCCGAGGATTTGTCCAACCCCAACCAATCCTACGCTGCGGAGTCCCGGCCCTTCAAGTGCTCAGTGTGTGAGAAGAGCTACAAGGATCCAGCCACGCTGCGGCAGCACGAGAAGACTCACTGGCTGACGCGGCCCTTCCCTTGCAACATCTGCGGCAAGATGTTCACGCAGCGGGGCACCATGACACGGCACATGCGCAGCCACCTGGGGCTCAAGCCCTTTGCCTGCGAGGAATGTGGGATGCGCTTTACCCGGCAGTACCGACTAACAGAGCATATGCGTGTCCACTCAGGAGAAAAACCTTACGAATGTCAACTGTGTGGTGGGAAATTCACCCAGCAGCGCAATCTGATCAGCCACCTGCGAATGCATACCTCTCCCACATAAGCCAAAGACTCCAGAATGAGCTTCGAGCCCATCCGCAGTGATTTACCTTTCTGTAGACTTGCTGCTTAAAAGAAAAAAAAAAAGAAAAAAGAAAAAAAAAAACCAGACAAAAAAGGGGGCAGCTCCCCATACTCTGTTCAGTCATGGGAGGCCTAAACAAATGTAGCTTTAACATTTAAAAAAAAAAAAGTTCCTTTTTTTCCTTTTTTTAAAAAAAGAAAGGTCCACAGCCAAGCTGATGCATTTAGTCCAAGTCTCCCTCCAAATCTTGATGATCTGGCAAGAAATGCCACTTCTTTTTGCACACATCGACTTCATTGCCATAATGATTATCTGGAGCAGGTAGGGGGACCTCGGGGAACTTTCGGCCTCTGCTGGCTCCCCCCTCCCTGCCTCTTTCCTTTGTGTTACTGTCACCTCAACTCCTCTCTTAAAACCAAACTCAGCAGGGGTATTTCTTGCCATTAAAAAAAAAATAAAGTACACCCTTTCAGTGGCCTAAGTAGCTGTGAAATAACACGGCATTGCGTTCAGCGGTGCAGAAGCTGTGTCTGTGGACCATCTCACAGGGTTGGGCAGCCCCTTCAGAGGCTGTGGGAAAGCTGTAGCAGTGGTAGAGCCCACTCCCCGTGGCCTGGGCTGGGATGGTGGGGAGAGAAGCTCCCCAGGGCTGCACCAGCCCAAGTCCTTCACTTCCATGGTGAAGCCTCCTTCACCATCCCTCCCTCTTTTGGTTTTGATCTTTATCCCTGGCACGTGTAACCACGTGCCACCTTCTCCACAAAACACACAAACCTCTTTTGCCTTACCCATGACTGAACAGGGACCGTATGCCCTGGGAATTTCTTTCAGTGAGCAGGGGGTCGTCTTTACTTTTCTAGTAGTTTCGTATGAATATTCTTTGCTTAGAGGTACTTGTTTTATTAAAGGAAAAACCATTGTAACGTTTATGTGAATGTTTGAACTGGAAGGTCTGAGGTTAATTCTGGGGTGGGTGGGTGGGGAGGGGGTTTGATGTAGGCTGGACTTGCTACAAGTTCCATAGGTACTTTTTTATTATTTTTTATTTTATTTTTTGTGTGTGTGTATGTTTTTAGCTTTCCTCCCTCACTAAAGAGCGAGTCTGTGTGGACAGACTTGTTACCTTTGCTACCTCTTGAATTCATGAGAACAATAAGATGGTTAGTGAAAGATTAGGCATTTTTTTTCTTTTATTGTAAGTAATTAAATGTATAAAAGTAGAAGCTAAATTAAAGTTAAGGGATTTTTACCACCCCGTCCTTCCATCAAAAGTCAACTAGAGAAATGTTAAAGCAAAGCTTGGCCAAAGACAAAGCAAAATATACATTGAGCCAGAGGCTGTGCTGGCTGCTCGGACTGGCTCAACTCGCAGTCTCTTGGCTGTCTGTAGTCACTTTCAGATAAAAGCAGAAAACTTCTCTGAGCTTTTTGGGCCCTTTCCAGCTTTGTTTATTGAATCTGGATATTATGGGGAGGGGAGAATGTCCCCCTCATCTTCCACTCCCCCAGCACATCTGGGTCAGTCTGTAAACACCTGGCAGGACAGAGGGTGAGGGCATAGCAGCCTATAATTTACTAGAATCCAGAGTGCAATAAGGTGGGGGAGAGGAGGAAAAAGCAAACCAAAGTGTTTCATATCCTCCCTTTTAGACAATTTAACACACGCACACAAAAAAAAAAGAAAAAAAAAAAAAAAAGGAAAAAATGAAAAGAAAAAGAAACAAAATGTTCTTGCAACATCTGCATAAGACATCACAGCCAACAGCTGCTATTGGTTTAGGAGAGAAGACAGAGAACTTTGCCCACCAATTCTTGGCCCCCTTGACTTTGTTGGCGTGACCTTGTGGAAAGCTATGGCTTATTTCAAGCCTCCCGTGACTGTGGTGGTAAAAATTCACAGCCAGTAGAATCATCCCTTCTGAAATGACTAAGGTTTACACTTGCTTTTGGTTTTTTTTTCATTTGTTGGTTTTTGTTTTTGTTTTTTTCCACTCAAACCAGTATAGTCTCTATGCGTAAGGTTTACCAAACCTCACGTTTTGTCTTTTTTA